AGTTCCAGTTTGGCGTTCGACGATCGAAGTGCATCGCATGTTTTTTCACTATTTTAGGTTTTTCTTCAACATCGCTGCGCAGCTTTCATTTGAGTTTAAGTCTACGTCTTATGGGTCGCACGTTACACTGTACCATGGCTACGCATGTGTACATGTGCCAAAAGCCAAAAAAACTTAGACTTAGCCGTTGGGCCCTACAACCTCAAACCCGCCTGAGGCACCTTACACCCCAAAGTCACGAACACCTTCGGCCCTCAACCCTCGCTTTCCCTGTCATCCCTCAGCCTTAGGGCCTTAAGCACCCCAAAGCCCCAAGCAAATGCACTGCAAGACTCTACAGGGCAACACAAAACACCCTAGAAGCATGTGAGCCCCTCAGCAAACGCTCCCCCGAACTTCCTCAGCCCTGAACCCCAAAAGCCGTGGGATACATGGAAAGGGTGCAGCTCAACTTGCAAAAAAACAGCCTAAACACAACACCCTAAATCCTAAAACCCCTAAACCCCGAAACCCTAAAACCCGAAATCCTGCCCCCAGGCCTTCGCTAAGTCGCCCTCCGGCAAGGGCAAGGAGGCAGAGGTGGGCTTTGAGCTCGCTGTTTTTCGTTTGGGGCTTAGGGTTTGGGGTTTAGGGTTTGGGGTTTAGGGTTTGGGTTCTAGGGTTTAGGGTTTACGGTTTAGGGTTTTGGGTTTAGGGTTTAGGGTTTGGGGTTTAGAGGTTTAGGGGTTTAGGGGTTTGGGGCCGTTTAGGGTTTGTTTGAGGGTTTAGTTCTAGGACAGTTTCAGGTGGGTAGTTACCGTTATAGGAGCCTTACAGAAGGTCTATATACCTAAGAAGAAGTCCTGTAGACCCTAAGTTCCCCACCTCTAGTTTCCTTTAATTAGTGTCTAGGGGTTTTAGCGTTTGGGGTTTCGTGCCCGGGACCTGGTATGTGGCGGTTATGGAAGCAGGTAGTTCATGCGGCTTAGACCCTTTTTCTGTCGAGGCTTTGTGAGTTTCTTCTTTCGGTGTTGGGGTTTGGTTAAGGGTTTATGGGGACGTTGTGTAAGGTGTTTTCTTTACTTCTCTACAATTTATCAAAGTTAAGGGCTCTGGGGCTTTCCGCATCAATTGCTGGTTCGTGTTTCAGCTTGACTTCTTGGGCCTGTAGCTGCAGGGTTCAGGGTTCCGGATGTAGAGTTCCGGGTTCAATGATTTTGCTGCGGGAGTTCTCGTAAGAGTTGCGACGCTTCCTCAAGTCAATCTCTGATGTTATCCAACACCACCGGCTTCTTGAAAGGCTGACGGAAGGGAGATCGTTACCGTGAACAAACACAAGAAAGCGCAATAAAGCCCAAAAAAAATCTGTTGCAACCGCTCAAACAGAACCCTTCCTCTCAAAACCCTAGCACCCTAACCCCTAAACCTGATAATAAACCCTAAACGCCCGAAAGCCCTAAAGACCCCCAAAATCCTAAAGCCCTAAAGACCCCCAAAATCCTAAAGCCCTAAAGACCCCCAAAAGCCCTAAAGCCCTAAAGACCCCCAAAAGCCCTAAAGCCCTAAAATCTGAACCCTAAACCCTTCCGGAAGGCTTGCATGAGGCTTGGCATGAGCCTCAAGAAGGGCGGCAAAGCCGCCTGGAACGAGAACTTCGAGCTGGTTGGGGGGCCTGGCTTTATATTATCATGATGATCTTTAGGGTTTAGGGTTTAGGGCTTGAGGTTTATAGCTATTGTTATCAGTATTGTATTGTTGTCTGTTATTGTTTCTATGGTAGGTAACTCCTGCATTTTGATCTCTACGGTTATTAGCATTGTTATTATAATCATGACGGTGATGTCTGGTGTTTGCTGCAATATCATTCTGATATTCAGTTTCTTTCACTCATTAGTTGTTATTAGTCACATGCTATTTGCTATGTTCTAGTTGCCCTTTGTTGTTTCCGGTGTTTTATCATTTGATAAACCAATATGTGGTATATGCTGGGTATTATGTACCGGTTATTATTCACGATTGATGTGCCTCTGGTACCTTATGGTTTTCTGACGTGTTATTATTTGCCAAAATTCGCCCCCTTACTCACGTCTCTGGTGCGAGTTGAAGGCATTGTGCCATTTCGGGTTCCGGTTTGTTTTAGAGGTTTGGTTTAGAAGGGCAAAAGGTCTCTGTAACCCTAAACCCTGAACCCTAAACCAGGGTTTAGGGGCAGCACGGGGCCGCCTCGACCGATGGAAAACAGTCTGCCACCCCTTCGACGGCAAACTCAGCATAGACCGCAAACCCTGAAACCTAAAGCCCCAAACCCTGAAACCTAAGCCCTAAACTCTAAACCCTAAACCCTAACACCTACACCCTAAACCCCGACATCTGCATACCAACCCTTCCAAATGGATCCCTTACAGTTCCCATTTTTACGGAACAACCCTTTAAAGGAGCCCTAAACCCACCCTTTTCCAATCATTAAGACTTCTAGTAACCTTTACCCCGAAACCCTAAACCCTAAGCCCTCAACCCTCCCTAAACCCTAAGCCCTAAACCCTAAACCCTACACCCTACACCCTACACCCTAAACCCTACACCCTAAACCCACACCGGACTGGCAGGTCTACGGCCTGGCCGACATGGTCATGGAGCGCACCATCGACGAGGCCCGGGTTCTTAGAAGGGTAGGATTTAGGGTCTAGGTCTAGAGTTAGGGTTTACTAGAAGGGTTCCTAAACGGGTTCTAGAGGGTTCTTATAAGGGTGTTTTTGAGGGTTCTATAGGGTTCGTATAAGTTTGTTTTCCAGGTTCTTTTGGGTTCATATGAGGGTTTCTGCAAGGAGTCTTGTGGGCCGTGAGGCTTCTACGGTTTGGGAAGTTAGGGGCTTTATGACGCAGGATCAGCAAACTTAGCCTTTAAGGTTTAGGGCCAGCAGGTTTCGTACCTTATGGGTTCTACAGAGCTTGTCTAGGCTTCTACACACTCTTTATAGAAGGGGTTCTATGAGGTTCTATGACGGTTTTGAGATTGTTCGACTTGAGGGTTTGGGGTTATGGGCCTTTGGGTTCCTGCTTCAGAAATTAAAGCTGAGGCTTCACGGTTTCAAGGCTTTGGGGCCTTCAAGACCAACGCCCAGCGAGTGAACACCAACACCACACGGTTTGGATCGTCCCCTAGACTTTAAACCCTAAACCCTCAACTAGGCCCTAAACCCGGCCTTGGGCAAGCCAGTCCAGCGAGCAACGCCCCAGTGACCCCTGTGTGCTTGATTTTCTTGACATTGTTCTAGGTCTTGCCATAGCCCCTTTCGTCTTCATTCTTTGTAAATTGTTGCTACGCTTATACTCAGCACCCTAAACCCAAAAAGCCCTAAACCCTAAATCCTAAATCCTAAACCCAAAGCCCTAAACCCTACTGGTCGTCGCCGGCATCTTCGTCGGTTTTCGGGTGGTCGGGGTAGCTGGCATGTTGATGATCGACGTCGTTTCTGCGTGTTGCTGGTAGTACGGCCCTTGAGCCTTGTTTAGGATTTAGGGTTTGGGGTTTAGGGTTTGGGGTCTAGGGTTTAGGGCCTTAACGATTAAAGCAGCGTCTATTCCATTTTAGTTGCATAGGGGCCACGAGGGGATATTATTGCTCATTCTTCCAACCCCTGTGTTATTCCTGTTGTTCTTCCTGTGGTCGAACCTTCTCGTCTATAGTCTATAGTTGGTTGCTCATTATTTTCTGTGGTGCTTTTCCGTTGTTTCTGCGAGCTCATGTCGATGGTGATGATGGTGTGATAGTCATACCCTAACTTCCTCACCGTTTTAATGAGTCTTCTCGGCATCCTCCTTGTTCTCGTAAGCGATTCTGAGACTTATCCCCACCTTATCTTCCACCCTCGTGCATACCAAAACCCTAAACCCTAAACCCTAAACTCCTAAACCCTAAACCCTAAACCCGAAGCCCCTAAACCCGAAAAGCTAAACCCTAAACCCCCGAGATCCTCTGAGAGGCTGCGAAAGCAATCCGAAGGACTCGACCACCCAAGTTCATGATACCCGAAGCCTATAGAACCCTAGCCGGGACGGAAGATTAATATAGGTAACCCTAAACCCTACAAACTCTAAAGCCCTAAACCCGAAAACTCTAAACCCTAAACCAAAAACTCTAAAACCCTAACCCTAAACTCTACAACCTAAGCCCTAAACTCTAAAGCCCTAACCCTAAACTCCATCTAAAACCCTCAGAACCCAAAGCACTGGACCTGCAGGTGACCGGGGCTCAATCCAACCTCTGAGGAGGCGGCTCTTCGGGTCTTGTTACAATTTGGGGTCTCGGGATTGGGGGTTTAGAGTTTAGGCTTTGGGGTTTTAGGGTTTAGGGTTTAGGCTAGCTAATTTCTCGTCGTACCATCAAGGGAGGGCCAGGCAACCATGTAGTTGAGATGTTTCGGGTGCGCTTGGTGCCCTGTTTCAAAGCCCCCGAGCCGGAGTTAGCTGCTCCGCTTTTGCAACTATCCTACGGCAGTTGCGTTGCGCAGTGTCCAGTTTTAACACCTGTCGACCTGTGCAAGCACAGGGGGGGGCCAGAAGTAGCATCCCCTTGAGTGCTTTCACGCCGTTGCCCGGCGTGATGTTTGAGGCTTTACTCGTCTCGACCAGGTTGTATCGCGTTATTGCGAGGGTGCTTTGGACGTGGGTAGGCCTTGTGGCCTTTGAGCCCGCGAAACCCTGCACAGCATTTTGCTCCTCACGTCCGCAGCACTGGCTCTTTGAATCCAGCATGCTCACATGTCATTGACGAGCGACTGCGGTTGAGACAAAATGTGCGACAGCTCCCGCAGCCATAAACCAAACGCTAAATCCTGAACCCTGAGCCCTAAATCCCAAACCTGTAAGCCCTAAAGCCAAAACGATCTGCTGAGATCATGCATCACGCTTCAGCTCCCCAGCAGTTAGCACCAAAAGGCCTAGTCTCCGAGCTGCTAAGAATCGCAACAGGTTAAGAATTGGGGTGTAGGTCTTAGCGCGCGGGGCCTCAGACCCTTAGCCCTAAATAAATCAGTTAGCGAGTGGGTCATAGGTAGAGTCATAAGTACCTTACTCGTCAACTTACTTACTAGCTTCCCCTGGTAGGGGCACCGCAATAGGTTTGGATCACCACAGTAGTAGTAGTAGTAGTAGTAGTAGTAGTAGTGGTCGTGATCGAGATAGTCCAAAGTCCATCGGCCAAGAATACAATTACCCTAAGCCCCTAAAGCCCTAAAGCCCTAAACCCAAAACCCCAAACCCCTAAGCCCTAAACCCCTAAACCCTAAACCCTAAACCCGCTAAACCGTCTCAGCAATCCTCAGACACCCCGAGGCTGCAGGCAAAGTCCCGTCCACAACACATGCATAGGTTTTACATACTGTAGTACACACATGTGTATTTGCATCATGTGTATATATATATATATATATAGAGTATGATGTTTTACATACTCAAATGTGTATATATGACTATGTATGTAACATACATACATACGTACATACATACGTACATACATACATACATACATACGTATATATGTATAGATACACAGCGAGGTAGATAGATAGATAGATAGCTGATAGACACAGAAGATAAACTTGATATGTACATTGGCCGCAGATAAATAGAATTTATCAATCTTCCTATCCATCCGTCTGGCTGCTTTTCTGCCGATCTGTCGATCGGTGTACTTATCTATCTATCTATCTACCTATCTATCTACCCATCTATCCATCTGTCCATCTACCTGTTCATTTATCTATCTGCCTATCTGTCTATCTGTCCGTCCTGTCTATCTCATCTGTCTACAGCCAAGCATTGCGGTACATCACCAAGGCCCAATACCACGCCGAGCCGCACCCGCGAGAAGCCGAATGCTCGGTTTGTGTCGGATGGCAGGTTCCTTTTCTTGAAGGATGATTAAAAGGACCCGAACACTATCACCGATTTTCAGACCTCTACATGACTCTACATCCGTGGTAGAATATGGTCAAGCAGAGGTCCCAGCAGAAGTGGCAGTAGCAGCAGGACGGGAAGGAGATTCTTTATGCATTTGTCGCGGTGGTGGCTGTGGCCGTCGTCGTCATCATGTCACCGCGTCACTGTCCTCGTCGTCGTGGTCGTGGTCGTTTGGGTGATAGCGGTAGCGGCAATAGCGACAATGCGGCAGGGGTGTTGATTGTGGTGGAGGTAGGAAGATGAGGAGCAGGAGAGGGTCGCAACCGCCAAGCTCTTCGATCAGCTGAGTGTTGTATCTTTTGGCAAGGTCAGCAAGGAGTGTTCAGGCGCGTGCGGGGTTTGGATTCGCAGAAGGCTACCTTAAGAACCCTTCATGAAGAAGCGCAGTATGTGTGCTCAGCACGAACCCTGTGATACCTCCTGGCCTGAGGAAGAATGAGATGGGCAAGGTGACCACCACGGGCCTGGCTCCGCCCCGAGAGGGGTTGGGCCTCTGTGGACTGGTTCTAGACTGGTTGCATCTGGCTATGCTTCTTCTTCTTCTTCTTGTTGCTGTTGTTGCTGCTGTTGTTGCTGTCGCTGTTGCTGCTACTGTTGCTTTTGCTGCTGCTGCTGACGTTGTGTTGATGCTACGGCTGCCTCCGCATTCATCATTTATCCTCTCACTCTTCTGTAGCTGAGTGCGTTTGTAGCAAGGACTGCATCATGATCACCTTTAGTTTGACAGCCGCGAACACTGCCGTTGCTTTTGACGTCGCTGCAGTTTAGCATCATGCGGTTGGGCCGTTGGAACTCTTGGCCTGCACGGTCAAGCTTAGGCCAAGCTCATCGCTGTGAGATTCAGAAGTTTCGGGCTTGAAGGGTTGGGAAGAGGACGATGTGGCAGTTACACGGCTGTGCTGAACTGGTAAGCAACCGCAGGCACAGCATGACAAATGACGAAAACGCCACGAGAACGGGTTTTGCTGCGACGGCAGCACAATGCTTCACGACCGTTGTAACGTGCACTGTCCGATCCGAATAGGGGAAATAGAGCGATGGCGCCTGGTGCGCGTGAGCGCAGCAAATCGGATCATATCCTTCTCCGGCTGAGCATTTTCGCTTCTTCTTTTTGCTGCTTGTGCTACTGCTGCCGCTCCTCCTCCGCCCCCTCCTCCTCCTCCTCCGCCTCCTACTGCTCCTACTACTACTACCGCCACTACTACCGCTGCTGCTACTGCTACTGCTGTTGCTACTCCTACTGCTACTACTACTGCTCTTACTACTACTGCTCCTCCTACTACTACTACTGCTGCTGCTGCTACTACTACTACTACTACTACTACTACAACTACACTCCTGCTGCTGCTGCTGCTCCTACTACTACTGCTGCTACTACTACTACTACTACTACCACTACTACTACTACTACTCCTGCTGCTGCTGCTGCTACTACTACTACTACTACTACCGCTACTACTACCTCGACCACTACCGCTACCGCTGCCGCTACCCCTACACCTGCCACTACCACTCACTACCACTACCACGACCAGTACCACTACCACTACCACTACAACGACGATGCCGGCTGCTACTGCTGCTGTATCATCCTCAGCACCATCATCAGCATCATCGCAGTCATCATCATCATCTTCTTCTTCTGCTTCTTCATCATGATCATCACCACCTTGGCCATTGTGATATCAATGCTGGCGATGTTGAGCATCATTATCATGAATGATACTAAGCATGTTGCTATCATGGAAGGGTGGCTGAGGCAGCTGACAGTCTGAGATGAGGATGTGAGTTCCATCCTTTCGACTTGCCAAGAAGCGGCTGCTGATGATGATGATGATGACGCTCGTGCTGTTGTTCTCCAAGCTGAACCTCGACTCGCACGAGGTTAGGGCGGTCGAGTGCGACAAGAAGTTTCAGGCGATACTTCTAGACAAATGGCGGAGGCTCGCCGTCACGACCGTGTTGAGAGTAGCAAATCAGGCTTCGGATTTAAGTGTTAGGTTCTGGGTTTGGGGTTATCTGCGTAGTGGTGTCCATCTACGAAGGCATTAGCAACGTCTAAGTTAGGTATGCTTAGAGCACACCCGCCGGCAGTATCCTGGCATCGCTGTTGGCTGCTACCGTCGTCGTCGTCGTCGTCGTCGTCGTGTGCTTTTCTTCTTCTTCACCATCGCCATCATCCTTGTCCTCGTCCTCATCCTCATACTCATCCTCCTCCTCCTCATCATCATCATCGTCAGCATCATCATGACCATCATTGTCACCTTCATCGTCATCAGCAACATCATCACCATCCTCCTCCTCCTCCTCATCATCATCGTCGTCATCGTCGCCATCATCGTCATCATCGTCATCATCATCATCATCAGCATCATCATCATCATCATTATCATCGTCATCATCGTCATCATCATCATCATCATCATCATCATCATTTCGTTCTGGCACTTCATACTTCTCGTCCAAGCGGTCTCGGGTTTAACGATAGCTATCTCCATGGTAATCCCGAAGACCCCAGGATAAGCCTGAGCCGAACATGGTACGGCTTCAGAACCGACCTGCTCCTAAATGACCACAAGCTGTCACAAGGGGGGAACATGTGCATCCGTCTGAATTCTGGTTGCAGAGGTTTGGGTCCTCTTAAACTCTTTAAAGGTTTAAGGTTACATAGGGTTGAACATTTTCGGTCGGAGATCTTGCAGTATTGGATTCAGGCTCGAACCCGACGAGGCGCAGAATCGACGCTGTGCGTGTTGAGAAGCTGTGCACAAACAGCCCAGCTGTCCTCCTGGAGCAGGACGGGCTTTAGGACCATGTGGGTTAATACAAGGGTAGTTGCATGATGGCAATTCTCTGAATTAGGGTCCCCCTTTTTGGTCCAAAATACAGGACGGCACCCTTATAAAAAGAGACCCTAAAAGGGACCCTTGGCCATTTCGGGCCTTGGAAGGGACATTCTGGGGAGGGGGGGGGGGGTGTTGTCTAGGGGCCTTCATGATGGGGTATAGAGGCCTTGGTTGTGGGGGAGGGGGGGGCAAATTACAGTATGATTACAAAAGAGGCCTTGTTGTGGGGGCAAGTTACAGTATGATTACGACAAGAAGCCCTAAGGAATAGTATTGATTGGCAATGGTTCAGGGTTCTATGTTAAATGATTGGGACCAGCTTACTATGATATGAGAGAAAGACATGCCGAGTAAGGTGCTTGCAGTGCTTGCAGCTGATGAATACATGACTTTTTTCGGGCTGTGCAGAAAAGTCCAAGATATTGCAGAAATGCGTGGGCTTCAGGAAAAGAAGAACCCGAATATGGATCCGAAACATTAGGATCTTCAAAAGAGCAAAACCGGAGAAAGGACCTCCAATCCCTGTAAGCCCCAAGCCCTGAACCCCAAACCCTGAAACCCCTTAACCGTAAACCCCAAAACCCAAACCCTTTCTCGAAGCCCCAAACCCTAAACCCTCACCCTCGCACCTCTGCTCGCGTCTGATGGAACCAGCTTCCAGGAAAGACGATGATCTCCCCAGCTTCCTGCAGCACTTCAATACCTGCTCGCGCAGGGGTTCAGGGCTGTAGAGTTTAGAGTTTAGAGCTTCAGGGTTTAGAGCTTTAGGGTTTGTTGCTGTAGGGTTCAGGGTGCTTTAGGGTTCAGAGCTTTAGGGTTTGGAGGTTCGGGGTTCTTTTAGGGATCCAGGGCTTTAGGGTTTAGGGCGTAGCGGCGTAGCTTCAGAATGCAGGATCTACGGACTTGCCGGACGTCTCAATACAGCGTTGGGGGCCTATGGTGGATAAG